TCAGGTCCTCATTATAGAAAACCAAACGCGTTATTTCCAACTACCGAGAGTAGATTACCACCGTGACCTGGAGAGTGGTTGTTTAGTTTTTTAAGTCACTGCCGGCTAGATCGCAATTGGTAGCCAGGCCCCGTATCACAGGTGGCGGGGGTTGTTTACTAGGGCTATTTTGTGGGGCTCCATAATCGCATTTGACCCATTTGGCTTCCGTTTTACGTTTGATGTTTGGATTAGGGTACCGGTTAATGGTTTCCGATTTTCGGGTTAGCGTTATGCCCCAAGGCTTAGATTTTCTGGTTACGGTTGGGGTTTGAGCGTATGATTAGGTTTCAGAATTACGGTTAGGTTTTTCAGTTACGGCTATGTCTAAGGGCTAAGTTTAAGTTTACGATTTCGGTTAAGGTTAGAGTTAACGGTTAACATTTAAGGTTGACGTTAGGTTTAGGGTTACGGTTAGGATTAGGGTTAAGATCGCCGTCCGCTTCCCCGTTCCTGGCTACCAACTGCGATCCAGCCCAAACTCATACTTAGTTCATGGAAACTCTTGCCTCGCGGGTCAGGAGTAGATCTCGTCGACTGCGATGGTTAAACCCACCAAGTCACGTCCTCCAGCTGACATCAGATGTTGCGTTGCTTGGTCCAGGCGGATGTCGGGGATCGTTTTGGAGCATCCAGGGGATCGTTATTGACCTCGACATCTGCGGGCAACCATGTACAGTACGTGGACTAACTCATTAAATGTCAACGAAAATTTCGAAATGCGTTCTCGTTTCGAAAAGATAAATTAAGTAGTGTTGTAAAACTAATCATGATGCAGCATTAATCTTTAATGATCCAGTTACCTCAGGGTGTCGGCTTTCGAAAGAACGTATTTTCGGCTGCATGCAAGATCTATACTCTGCAAAAAATGACTACTTAAGTAGTATGCAATTTTCTCATTGATTTTCAATACCCTTGAAAATTCAATCATATTTCATGGAAAAAATGCATAAAAATATTCATTTTTTCTTATTTCGGTAGAAAATCACGTCTTCTTTCAATTTCATACTCAAAAGAAGAGTATAATTCGGTTTTAAAAAAGTTTCCAATTGTGAGATTTTTTAATACCGTTAAATGGCCGTTCATGAAACGTCATGTATCTGCATTTACGAATGTGGCTTGTAAAGTTAACAATATTGCATGTGTTTCTCTACGGTGTTAAGAGGAGACTATATGAGGTTCATAAAATTAAGCAGTGTATTTGAGCAATATTGTTAACTTTACAAGCCACATTCGTAAATGCAGATACATGACGTTTCATGAACGGCCATTTAACGGTATTAAAAAATCTCACAATTGGAAACTTTTTTAAAACCGAATTATACTCTTCTTTTGAGTATGAAATTGAAAGAAGACGTGATTTTCTACCGAAATAAGAAAAAATGAATATTTTTATGCATTTTTTCCATGAAATATGATTGAATTTTCAAGGGTATTGAAAATCAATGAGAAAATTGCATACTACTTAAGTAGTCATTTTTTGCAGAGTATAGATCTTGCATGCAGCCGAAAATACGTTCTTTCGAAAGCCGACACCCTGAGGTAACTGGATCATTAAAGATTAATGCTGCATCATGATTAGTTTTACAACACTACTTAATTTATCTTTTCGAAACGAGAACGCATTTCGAAATTTTCGTTGACATTTCATGAGTTAGCACAGCTACTGTATGCGCTCCCCGCGTGGTTTCTTACTCCACCTAGGCGAACTCGCAGCACCGAGTATGTAATGGGCTTGTTAATGGACTTGGGCCAGTAAACCATGATTCAAACAGTTCCTGGCTCACGTGGTTGTCCCTTCTAGCGAGAATTTTAACTTCGTCGAATTAAAATGTGTGACCGGATCTCGCTGAATGAGCCACAACTTGAGAGCTGGCGTCATTTCTCCGCACTGCTGGAGCGTGTTGGGTCATTCTTGTTCGGGGCTGTCTTCCGGTTTCTCCGACGTAGTTGCTTTGTCCGCAACTGCACCAGGTCCGATAAACAACTCCAGACGTTTCTAACTGTGGCAGCGGGTATTTCGGTTTCATTACCTAGCACCTGATGGTTGCCTCCGGTCTGTATGCAACTCCAGGGCATTGAAAGTCAATAAGAAAGTTTCATACCGTATAAACAGTCATTCGTTTTACGAAAAACAGTTTCCTTTCAAATGGCCAAAAAGAAGCGCATTCGGAAAACGGTATCCTGCAGCGACTCAAATATCATGTGATTATGCCGCAAAAAATCACTTTTGCAACCTCATCCAAGGTACCTTCTCTAGTCGAAAGCATACTTCTAAACTTTCGTCAATGATTCATGAGATGCATCTGAAATTCTTTTCTCAGCACCTCAGCTGAATCCTCTCGAGTTAAGTTATTAACAGTGCGATATTCATATCGGTATGCTACTAGCAAATAATCCATGTATTCGGCATGGTGTGGTCTTAACTTTTGCCTGCTAGATGTGTTGGACTACAGGAGAGGCACCTGGGTCGTTGCTGCAACAATCTCAAACTGGTGCAAGCTGGCTGCTCAACCGGCGCCTTATCGGAGCCAGACAAGTGCCCAAGGTTTCCACAGGAACACTGGTGAAGCACTTGTTTAGGCTTTTAGCCTACGCCCATTTTGGAAATACGGCGGAACCAGTGTCACAATCAAGATATTTTTCATCTGAATTGTAAGGCTTTTCACTCGATCGACTTTATGCACACAAGATTCCGATGGGGACCTAGGCTGGTAGATACTCTCGTTGCCTTAAACCATTAAAACTCTTTCGCTGTTAACTGATTAGTGCGTAAAAACTTGATCAAAACTGATAGGCCCATCTGAAATCAACCGACGACCGCACGTCTCCAAGGCAAAACAGGAAAGATTTCTGTGGCGGTCATGCCCAGAACAACAGTTTTTTGATGAAACGCTTCGTATCTAAATTGTGCAAAAGCTGAAGCGCCTTTAGAAACATTGGACACTTTGGATTTAGACTAGGTATGAAAATACCATGGCGTTAGAAATTTTATACACCGTGAAGGTAGACATTAGAACTGATTTTTTGGACCACAGTTAATCATACGACTAGAGAAAGGCCCTTGTTACGACATTTTACATGAGATTTTTTGTTCTATCACAAAACCTGCAGCGTCTACGAGTCTAACCTACCAAAATTGGGGACTTTTGCCCCAGACCTTTACTCTTCAAAACAACTTGACCCGGCAAGAGGATGAGAGGGGACTACCAACGCCATGTTTTGTCAAATAAGTGTTAACCTTGTGGGATAATCACTGTAGCAGCATGACTGCCTTGCTTTTTTTCTAGGGAACTATATGCCCAATTCGCCGTGACCTATAAATAGGGGAAGGGTACGCTGCCGTCGTAGAAAGTCCGTCTTTTGGCAAGAACATTTGCACTGAAAATGTTAATATCTGTCGTCTAACTCCTACTTTGTACGTAAATTCGAGCATCTTTAAAAATCACATAATCAAAGGTATCAGAGAGCTTTAAATGCAGATTCTTCTGCTTTTGTGGATATGATGAATTTTTTATTGCTTTGTTTCAAAATAATCCACAAAAGGTTCGTTTTTCAGGCTAATTGGTACGCATCTGGCTGCTCCATATCCAACAAAATATGACTTTATTATTCCACTTGTTCATTTACGAGGCGCTTAAATGCCCCTCAATTCCTTATTGCGCATCCATGTCCTTCACTTTCGCAGACTGCTTAGACATATTCCTTCTCTTAACTGCTGACTGCATGCGCAAAATTTAAGTTTACTTAAAAAAAACAGTGTACCGGAGGACGACAATTTCGCAGGCCCCAAGCCATCCAGGATTTCCTCAAGGGGGGGCAGCTGTTTTTATTATTCAGAATGCCTTAATACTTGAAGTTCTTTTTTACTGTTTAAAACAATCTCTCACAATTACTTTATTTTACGCTATTTGTCACCTAATTTAAAATGAATTTTAGCCAGTGCAGAGGTCTTTTTCGGCAGAGGTATTTTTACCACAAACGTATCTTGTCTCGATTTCAACGGTCTTTACACGGCGTATTAGCTCCATTTGGCGAGACAAACAATTGCGCCTTTGGCTACTGCTTACTTTAAAAATGCGGAAGAAGTCCGACACAATCTGAATGCATCTCATTTTAATGGTGATCGTTTCTGAAGAGTAAATCAACATAGTATAAAGAGCAAAGATTCATTTGGTATTTCGATATCAGCAAAAATGCGATCATACCAGCAAAATAAGAAAGAAAACTTGCTAATTGTCGTTTGCTATGATTTATGTAATCACTCACAAGGCAGTAACAAATTAGTGCATTCCCAAAGGATGTAGTTTCGAAATTTTCCGGTCTGCGATAGAAGAACGCTTGCTCAACAGTGCACTCTCACTGCCATAAAATGATGTTGCACCACGTCGCATAGATTAACCTAAGCAGCCAGTATTTGCAAATTAGACTTTAATCTATCAGATCTGGTAAAATAAGTAGGTTGCCAATTGTCTTTAAGGTACAATAGATAGACATGCTTACACCGACTGTTTCTTGACCAAAAGACTTGCCTATAGTCTGCGCAAAGTTTATTGTTCCCTTAAGAAAGGTGGGCTAAATCAGACTTAAGCGAGTCTTAAAAATTTCGCGAACTCTGTAGGCTTAAACAGTATGAAGGGAAACGTTAAAAAACTCTTTTTATTCAACCACTGTCACTCATATGGGCAAAGAAAATCTAACATCAATCTATCTGGCCTCTCGTCTCTCACAGGGGATAGTATACGACTCACCAAAGTAAGGGCTGTCGCTCCAAAAATTGTTTTGTAAAGGAAAGTAGTCGTATAGGGGAGCGAGGAGAAACTATCGCTACAGGTGTCAATCCTGAAAGCAATCACTGGGACCAGCAGACTGTCATGTCTTAACCGTGGTCTATAAAAAGCGGAAATGGACGTGGCTGGTGCGAGAATTCCCTCATTTACCAAGGGATGCTTGCAAGGGAAATGTTCATATCAGTCGTCCAGGTGCTTTGTAAGTCAGTTATGACATATTTGGGAACTGTATGGTTACAATTCCAGCCAACGTTAGGTTCAGATTGTTTTGCCTTTTGAAGCTGAGTCCTGTGAAGTGAACCTTTGCACAGTTCTTCAAAATGAGTTAAGATCCTTTTTCCCTTTTGCAGATTTCATCGGATATACATCTGGTATGCACCTGGTTGTTTAAAATCAGACAAAGTTTTGAATTATGTTGATTATTTATTTTTAAATCATAAGAACACATTTCATTTATTTTCGAATTCGATAAGGGTAGGATATGTACCGCTTTGCATGACCGTTCAAAAATCCGCCTTCCTATCTTATTTAGCGGATAGGGTTCATAACGGTTTGCCTGGCAGTCGTTGCGTGGATTCTCAACTTCACCGTCGTCAGTAACGTTAAGAGTGCCCATATAAGCTCAAAGTCAGAGTTAGACCAACGTTTGCGGTTAGGATTAGTGTTAGGAGTCAGGCTATTCTTAGAGAAAGTGTTGTCAGGCTTGGGATATGGCCTCGATTTGAGGTTGGGGCGAGGATTCGGGTTCGAGTTTAGTGCTTGACTTTTAGAATTAAAAGTGGGATCAAGGTCAAGGTTGGAGTTTATGAATTAGGGTTAGGGGAGTCAGGGTTATTTCTGGGGTATAATGCTTGAGTCAGGTTTCCGACTGCATCCGTGTTTGACATACATTTTAACGGGTAAAGAGTTACGGTTACCCATTACAGGTATGACCGCGGTTTCCGCTGAAGTTTCAGTTAACTATAGTCCTCCTAGTGGGGTTACACACCATACCTTTACCGTGAATTCTCAGTACCCCATATCCAGGCAAATGACTAGGGTATAGCATATTTACACAACTTCCGGCCTCGTGGAAAATACAAAAATGTTATTCAAAGATAAATTACTGAAGTGTGACATTTCACCGGAATTCGTTACATCAGAGCTGTTTTCAGAAGGCCTATGAGCGGTTTCGACCCTACAACATCTTGAATAACTAGTTTTGAAAACAGCGTAAGGCTGAATTTGGTGCAACACTTCGATTTTGTAACACCTATCTTCTGAATGTAAAATGCATCTTAGCCAACGAGGATGCGCTCTGCAGAGGCTTTGCTGCGACTTTTGAGAAAACTAAAGAGCCGCAGACGCTCCAGTTATACGCGGACTTCGTTCCTTCCGTAAGTTTGCTTTTTGACAAAGTAGGTGTTAGGAGAGACACTTATTATGTTTCAGTCACATAAGTAGATTCCCCAAAAATCAGGAAAATTTCCTACAAATAGCGTTAATTCCGATCTCAATGAGAACTGTTGTAACAATTTTCGCATCAATGAAATGCCTGAATGGTGAATAAAATAAATGCCGTGTGTTGATATATCATTTGCGTACGTCAAATTGGGGGAGCCTGTTAGTGGAGTACAAAGTAAGAATCAGTTGTTACGGCAAAGTGTCTTGATGGTGCCAAGACTTTCGCAGACTCGAAAACAATTAATAAGTTTATGCAAGGCTGCAGCATCTTACGCTCTTTTATACCAAACATTTATGGGTGAAGGTCGAAATTAAAAGTAAAGGGTTTCTTAATCTGATGAGCCCATAGTAACTGCACTACTATGGCTTTTTGATTCGAGAATGTACGGTTTTAATTTTTTACATAAATTTCCAATGATTTAAAGTTAAACCAGTTTGAAATTGATGCTTCCTAACCTAAATTCTCATTTTGAAGAGAGTTACAGTGGGAACTACGGATATCCATTTAAAAGCAAACATCTGTGCCTCGGGAAATCAAAATTATCCGTGTCGGCTAATTAAGGGTAAGGCATGATTCTTTACATAATTATATTTCCCAAAAGTGTACCGTAGAGGTGCCAACACATAAATGTTAATTGAAATTCTGAAATGCGTTTTCGACTCGAAAATATTGCTTAAGGGTGGTTGTAATATTAATCACCATGCAGCATAATCCCATAATAATTCAGTTATATCAGGATGCCAGTTTTTATACGAACTTCTTTCCGGCCGCCTGCTTTAACCACAGTGCGTAAAAGATGACTACTCAAATGGTATGAGTATTTCCCATTTATTTTCGATGGCCTTATAAATGCAAATATATTTCCCAGAAAACATGCGTAAAATATTCATTCTTTTATTTATTTGGTAGAAAAGCACGTCTTCGATAGATTTTGTTTTTTAACGAGGGGTATGATTCGGTTTTAGAAAGTATCTAATAATGGAAGTTTTTAAGACCGTGAAATACCCGTCCATAAAAAGTCCATAAAACTGTTCAGGAATTAAAAACGTTTTCTAAAGCCGAATCACAACTCTCCTTCATGCATAACATTTGAAGATGTAATTTTCCACCAAGTGAGGAAGAAGAATGTATATTTGTATGTGTTTTCGGCATGAATGATAGTTAAACTTATAAGGGCATCAAATATCAATAAAAAAATTTGCATTAAGTAAGCAGACGTCTTTTAAAGTGTGCAGCTTTTGCAGACGGCCGAAAAAAAGTTTGTTTAATAGCCGACATCCCGAAGTAGCTGAATTACCTTGGAATTATGCTGTATAAGGATTGCTATTACAACCCTGCTTAAGTAATCTTTTTGAGTTGAAAACACATTTTGTATTTTCGGTTAACATTCCACGAACAAGCGTACCTACTTCACAAATAACTAAAAACGTTTGCATTAAAAACCATGAAATTAAGCAGATGTTTTTGGTTTAGAGCGTGCTCTAACGATTAATCTTTTTGTTTCCACAAATAGTGCACGAGTCTGGTTTTTGGCGTTTTGAAATTGATGACATTGTGACTGCTGATCTCAGCAGCGTTGTCGCATCTTCTGATTTGGAGTACCTGCCGCCAATCGCCATCCATGCTCAGCCAATTGTTGACGAAATCAAAGGTGAACATCCCCCTTCACGCCATAATTTATTGCCTGCAAAATTGACAGCCTTGACGGACAGCCAACTCAGCCAATAGAAGCGAAGAGACGAGTCCCAGGAAGCAGTCTTGAAAAAGAAGACACCATCGCCGGGACAAGAGCTTTATTAGCCTGACGTTTCGGATTCCTGTTCGAATCCATCATCAGAGACATAAGCAAATAAGGGTGGTTCATGCATATGCGGATGCAGTATTTATAGGATGCAATAGCCATGCTATCGCATACCTATGAATATTCACGGCTCCCTCCCCTTCATCAGGGATCGTTGCACGTGGCGTGATGGCCGACATTCGCGTCGTTTATTGCTGCAATTTCATCACGTGCGTTGGATGTTGGCGTGATAATTGCTCGGCCATCTCATCCACCGAATCTGTAGATGGGACCAGCGTTCACCTGTGCACTCCCCGAGTGGCCAATTACTCCGCCCAGGCAAATTCCCAGCACCGCGTATGGAAAGAGAAAGTCATAGCACTTGTTAATAGACTGGGGGCCAGTAAACCATGACTCAAGCAGCACCCGGCTCACGCGGTTGTCATCTCTTGCGAGAATTTCGACCTCGTCGAATTTGAAAGTGTGGTCGGAACCCGTCGAATGAGCCGCAATTTGAGCGCTGGCGTCATTTCTCCACCCCGTTGCAGCTTGTTCGACCATTCGCGTTCGGAGTTTTCTTCCGGTTTCTCCGACGTAGTTGCTTTGGCCACAACTGCACCAGTTCCGATAAACGACTTCAGACGTTTCTAGGCGTGGCAGTGGGCCTTTCTAGTTCATTACCAGACGCCCGATGGTTGCCTCCGGTCTGTGTGCAACTCCAAACCCAAGTGGTGCATAAGGGCGACCGACAGCTTCCGAAACATACTTGACATACGGAAACGATCGCCACAATTCGATGTCCATGCGGTTAGGCCTTTCGTTCCTTTTGCGTATGCACCGGTCGACGAAGTTGCGAGGGTAGCCATTGGCTTTGAAGACCCGTCGGAGGTATTCTATTTCGGCAATCTTGTCTTCCGGCTCACTGCAGTGCGTTTCGACACGCCAGTAGAGCGTCCCTACACCACTTTGTTTGTGACTGATTGGGTGGTTGCTGTTGAAGTTCAGTACTTGCATCGTATTTGTCGCTTTCCTGAACTCTTTGGTCTTTAGTCCACGACAATCTTTGCAATATGCGAGGACGTCCACGAAGGCCAGCTGATTGTTCTCTTCGCTCCTACATCGTAAATTGTATGTCCGGGAAGATCGCATTCAGACGTTCCTTGAATGTCAGCGGTTGATCCCGGTCGATAACGACGAAGATATCATCCACATACCGGGCCCCGAACTTCGGTTTGTGGTGTTGGAAGACCAGCGACTCTAACCGTTGCAGGACCGCCTCGGCGATGAATCCCGAAATCGGCGAACCCAGTGGTGTGCCTTTCACCTGTCCGTAGATTGTCCCGTCAGACGTGAAGTACGTCCTGAGACAGAACTTCAGGAGCTGAAAGACTTGGGCGCGTCCAAGATGATTCTCCGTTTCATCGTATTTGCTTTTTAGTAGCAGCTGGATTGTCTCGATCGTCAGGTCCTGGGGAATAGAAGTAAAAAGGGATGTAACATCAAAAGATACCATGACCTCATTTGGATGGATGCTTACCCCTTTGAGTGTCTCCAGGAATTGTGCTGACGAAGAGACCGTGGTGTCCGACTCATCGGTCTGAAACTTGAGACGCCGGAACAGCCACTTAGCCAGTCCGTACGTTGGAGTCCCTTTGAGCGACGCGATGGGTTGGAGAGGAGCGCCGTCTTTGTGCACCTTAGGGAGGCCATAGAATCGGGCCAAAGCCGTATCTTGGGGTATCGCCAGGCGTTTGTCGGTCGGTGTTATTGCACCTGAGTTCTCCAAGGCCAACAACGTGGCATTAATTTCGTGTGCCAGCGGTCTTACAGGGTTCGTTGCACATGGGACATAGAACTGTCGGTCCTCCAATAATCCTTTGGCTTTTTGAAGGTAGTCTGTCCTGTCCAGCACAACCGTGGAGCGCCCCTTGTCCGCTGGGACGATGGCCAAGTCTTTGTCGGCCTTGAGTTCTCTAAGCGCATCACGTTCGACCTTGGAAAACACTTCCCGCGGCCTGTGGGCCATTAGGAGAGACGACACTTGGTGTCGGATTCGAGCAGGAATCCGAAACGTCAGGCTAATAAATCTCTTGTCCCGGGGATCGTGTCTTCTTCTTCAAGCCAATTCAGCGTTTTCATGGATTCGTGCTGGTCACTGAAGTGGTGTAGAAATAAAACTGTATGCCAGATCATAAACAGTGCTAGAATCCTGGTTCATAAGACGTGCGGACGTCTTACCAGTACTTATCCCTGTCTGCTAACCACACTTTCTTCCGACCATTTCAATGACAACTGCATATCCAGTCTGTAGTTTGGGTCAAACCAATTATTTATTGTTTTATTCCCGTCCGCCCCCGTCTCTGCTTTCTAGACATCATTCTCCTTCGGTCATCCTCTCCATTTGTGATATGTCCAAATCCCGAACAGAAAGCCGTCGAAGTTGAATTTTTCTTCGCAACCAGTATTTTGGATCAGCATGTGAAGGTAAGACCTAATGCTATGATCTCTACATACTGTAGTTGCATGTAGTGAATCATGAGCTTAAATTTGACAGGTTACTTGAGTCCATGCTGGGTATTCCAAAAATATCAGCCTATTAATTATCAGTGGTATCTTTTTATGGATTTAAAAGCTTTGCTTTGAAATGAAAAGCTCCCATCTTAACAATGGGACCGTTTGAGCAAAGTTAATATCGCCTGCAGGATTTCTGTCACTAAAATCTTTCGGAAATGAAGGAGCACTTAAGCTGAATGGCACAGTCGACCACCATGGCTAAATTGATGGTAGACTGACGAGTCATAGGGTATTGTGGGCAAGGGTAGGAGTTTACTGAGTGCTAAAATGCAGGCTGCACTGCCGTTTAAGATTCGTCCTTCGTAAGAAAACAACCACTGGTTTCTTGTACCCCGTGGCGTCTCAAGTAAAAAAACATGATTCAAATGCCCAACATTCTGATAGATACGAACACTGTTTATCTACATCTATTTTCGTTATAATGTCGTGTTTTTTCTTCATACAATTCTCGGGAAAGTTTACTTGAACGAGGGGGTCGTTTTTGGTAACCCGAGTGCTTGTAAGATTTAAAGCTTTATACTTTTTACTTGCGAGGATACCTCAAGGGCACAGACCCAAAACCAGCGGTTTCGACAAAAAATTAAAACGAACCGTTGGACAAGTTAGACAAATAGGTAATTTTGCTCTGGCGGCTCCTCATATATGATGGTGGCATACAGTGAGTGAAGAACTCACGACCGACCGTTCAACCTAGTCAATGTATTTACGCATTTCGAAGCAATCAAGAAAGAGATGATGATCTACAATTAGCACATAAGCAGCAGCCAAAAAAACCATGATATTCAACAAGCTCTAGAAAATCAAAAGATTTACTACGATAAATTCATCGGTAACCAGTGGAATTTGTCCGATAGGCAGCCGGCCAGTTTTTGAACGAAATTATTTTGTTGCATTATGAATCAGATTTAGATCCAGAGCCATCACAAAGGAATGTTGCATGCCCGATACAAAGATAATGCGCAATTCAGTGTGGAGGAATAAAATTTGCTTTTGTCACTGGGGTCGTTTAAGGTGACAAAACCGCATACAGTTTGATCGCACAATCAGTCGCTACAAGCTTCATTTTGGTCAAAAGATAATCCGCAAGTTAAAATAGATAAATGCTAAGAGTCGCCGAGGGATAAGGCGTAGTATACACCGCGGTACGGCTATTAAAGTTGATCATTCATTTTTGATCAGAAAGCAGCTGGTCCTCTATATCCTATCATGCTCTAGACTACAACTTCGCTTCAAAGCCTTGAGTTACTTATGAACGCGTAAATGACTTGTTTGCAATATGAGGGATAGTCTTCCAAGTTCATCGAGATATCATGTTTGTTTATCCTGATATTTTTCGGACGGAATAATTAGACAGAAATGTTTTACTGAGTGGAAAAAGGCCTCACCCGATCTAGTGTTTTATCCACTTATTCAGCGAATTCATAGCTCACACTTAAGACAAGAAATTGAAGCAACTTTTTAAGCAATAAAAGGAAATAGGTGAATTGGTGTGTTTTCACCGTTTCGTATATGCAGTCTATGCGAATAAATTTCTCAATACGTCCTGTAAGCTGAATGAACGCTTAAATAGAACCAAACGTTTAACTTAGTAACGAAACACAGTTGAGTATGGGGTCCCAAAGTAATTAACTTTATACACGTATTAAAGTTCCGTTGAAAATGTTCCCAATATTAACCTTTTAACCTGAACCCCTTCACTTAAATGATAATAATTTCAATGATGAAAATTCAATGATGAGAATATTATCCTGTTAGCCTCAACCCCTTCACTTCAATGATGAGAATTCACTTTAATAATGAGAACGTCGAGAAAGTTATTTAAATTGTCTACAGACAAACATATGCTAGTAAAATGTCTCAGGTTCAGATCAGAAGTTGTCGAATGTCATAAAGTCAACTGAATGGCCATCTATGCGACGCTTGCCTGTTTGCATACTTGCTTAGACGTGTACTAGGGCGTCTACTCAGATAGCTTTTCGATCTACGTATTTCAGACACATTTGCTTGCAAATGTGCTTGCATTAATGTTATCAGGAGGGATATTAATGCGTACTTCTTCAGTATTGCAACAACTGATAACATATGATTACCCGAAACTCGGTTTTTAGGTTTAATTCGTTAAAAAGTAATAGGCATTGGAGCCAGTGATATGCACATGCACGGGTAATTAAATATGAGTGGTCTGGGGAAAGATTTCAGTTATTGGCACGTTTCCATAAAAAACGATGAGCGTTTCCGGAGTCGTGTACTCGAAGGAATTGTACGCCAGTTGTCATGTCTATTTGGATGCTATGTGCGAAAACTGAAGAAAAAATGTAATTAACAGCGATTGGAGCAAATGAAATGGTAACATAAGTTAGATCATTTTTGGATC